GTGAGTAGAGACTGTGTGATGTTCCTTCAACACTTAAGAGGTAGTTTGTCCATCGTAAACTCTTGTAATGTATTATTTTCCCGGAATTTGTCAACTGCCTCAGATACAAAGGAGACACTGAAGGTGAGGTCAAGAGCTTCCTCCTCCCTCCAGGTTTACGTTTGATGGGAATGGATGGCTGAATGGGTGAGAGGGAGGTGGAGGGGGTGGGGATGGTTGGACACACCTGGGGAAGGGGAGGGTAAGAAACGAGGTGAATGAGGAGACTAGAGGGAGGGGGAAGGGTAGGGGGTGGTAAGAAACAAGGGGTGTGGGGGGAGGTGGAGGGGGGACAGGTAAGTTGAGGACAAGAAGAGTCAGGTGCGTCACGGTGACTCGTCTAATCCTGGATGAAAACAAATATTCATCACCATTGAGTAAAGGAAGAAATCTGTAGGTTTAGTCCCCTTGAGCACGATGACCTAACCATCCTAAGTACAATGTCATCATGCTAGTGGAGAACTGGTCATCGTATACTGGAAAGGTTAAGACATTGTAAATCAGCTTAAGGGGTGAGAGGGTTAAGTCATCGTACTCAAGGGGTGATCAGAGGGTTAATTTATTGTATTCCAGGTGTTAATTTATTGTATTCCTGGTGTTAATTTATCGTATTCCAGGTGTTAATTTATTGTATTCCAGGTGTTAATTTATTGTATTCCTGGTGTTAATTTATCGTATTCCAAGTGTTAATTTACCGTATTCCAGGTGTTAATTTATCGTATTCCAGGTGTTAATTTACCGTATTCCTGGTGTTAATTTATCGTATTCCAGGTGTTAATTTACCGTATTCCAGGTGTTAATTTATTGTATTCCTGGTGTTAATTTATCGTATTCCTGGTGTTAATTTATCGTATTCCTGGTGTTAATTGATCGTACTCCTGGTGTTAATTGATCGTACTCCTGGTGTTAATTTATCGTATTCCTGGTGTTAATTTATCGTATTCCAGGTGTTAATTTATCGTATTCCTGGTGTTAATTTATTGTATTCCAGGTGTTAATTTATCGTATTCCAGGTGTTAATTTATTGTATTCCTGGTGTTAATTTATCGTATTCCAGGTGTTAATTTATCGTATTCCTGGTGTTAATTTATCGTATTCCTGGTGTTAATTTATCGTATTCCTGGTGTTAATTTATCGTATTCCTGGTGTTAATTTATCGTATTCCTGGTGTTAATTTATCGTATTCCAGGTGTTAATTTATCGTATTCCTGGTGTTAATTTATCGTATTCCTGGTGTTAATTTATCGTATTCCAGGTGTTAATTTATCGTATTCCAGGTGTTAATTTATCGTATTCCTGGTGTTAATTTATCGTATTCCAGGTGTTAATTTATCGTACTTAAGGGGTTAAACAACAAAGAACAACTGTCACTTAACTATTTCACGATCTTTATGAAACCAAAAAAAAAACAATAAGATCCCTCATCTCTTTTGTTTTCGCTGTTTATCATAATGTTTCTATATCATTTATTATTCTACATTACATTTAGGCTCAAACATCAAAAAGCTGAACGTTGACGGCGAATTTCTTACCTGGGATATATTTTAGTTGGTTTCTGAGTCCTGACCGCGAGCCTTGGCAAGATCCGGTCAAGATTCGGTCGGTCATAGCGGTTCAAGCGTTTTGTCGGTCTAGGGCCTAGGCAGTCAAGCACACGGCGACCGATCACTGTTGATAATACGGGTTTTTGGAGGGGGTCAGGTTTACAGTGATTCAAAAGTGTTGTGGGACGTGTGTTGTGACTCGGTCGATAACCATCTTGTCAGTATATAGTGACTGTGTGGTGGTGAGGGTGGTGATTGTGATGATGGTGGTGGTGGTGGTGGTGATGGTGGTGATTGTGGTGGGGTTATTGTACGATACTAACTATGCATGGAGAGGAGGGGGGGGTGAGAGAGGGGAAAATGGTATTGGGTTGTGTTAGAGAGGTGACGGGGGGAGAGGGGTGAGAGGGAGAGGAATGAGGGCGAGAGGCGTGACGGGGGAGAGGGGCGAGGGTAAGAGGGGTGAAAGGGAGAGCAATGAGAGAGGGGAAAAAATAGTGTTAGGTTGTGTTAAAGAGATGACGTAGCGCTCACCTGATATACCTGTAATCTAAATTAACCTAACCTAACCTAACCTACAGGTAACATAACGTAACACTGTATTAAGAACTGAAAATAAAAACCCTGAGCTATTGTTTTTTTTTTCATTTTATTATTATTTTTTGGTAAGATTTTGTAAGCGGTGGTAAATTATCTGTTGGATTTTGTCAGATGGGAACTATAACCTACCTGGAGGTCCTTAGCCATTGTGTAAAGATCTCTATAGGCCTTTGAGGTGTCCTATATACACCTCAGAACACAGCTACACTTCTATTTAACACAATGACGAAAAAAATCCTGTATATCCAGATCCTCTAAAGAGTTTCCCCACGATGGCTCTCTATACCTAGTAAGTGGAGGTGAAAAGAATGCATTTAACAGGTTGATATTAAGCTGAAGTACCACGACCACCACCACTACTACCACTACCACCAGTTAGGAGGCAAAATGAACGTAGGTGATGATCTTTACTGTAATTCCTGACCTTAGTCTTATCTTTTAACTGGTGGTATAAATGAACGTTATCGAGGTAAGGTTTTTATGCGGTCTTTTTCGTGTTATTCTTGGGTATATATTTTTTATTCTATAGCTTAACCCTTTGAGGACGATGCCTTAACCCCTTGAGAAAGATGATTTAACCCTTTGATGACGACGATTTAACCCTTTGAGGATGATGATTTAATCCTTTGAAGACCTTGAATTTAACCCTTTGATGACGATGTGATTTAACCCTTTAGGGACGGTGATTTAACCCTTTGATGACGATGATTTAACCCACCAGAACTCATAGGGTTAAATTCGATACATTAGATCATTCTTACATCTTCACTTGTGTAGGATATTCATTGTACGAACCTTTTGTGAACGTGTTTCTTGGTTTAGTGGCCATAACGAACGATATTATGAGTGAACGTTATTAATGGTATCAACAGAGGGGGTAGAACGGGTCATAGTTAAGTAGTGATGTAAGTATAAGTGAATGAAAGTAACTTAGATTAGGGCTTGAGTCAAAAGTATGTATAATTTGGGTAATGTAGACGGTAAAGTATTATATAAGGGAATAGTTTTTTTTAAGTACTTGGTCTATAGATACTAATATGAGACAGAAAGGTTGTGGCCCTAATGTCATAACGAGCGTGTGATGCAGAAACTAAGTGTTAAGAGAACGGTGCTAAATAACCCTGGTAGGTGAAGTAGAGGGAGAGTCATAGACCGCAGAGTACCTGAACCTAACCTAACCTAACCTAACCCAACCTATACCACTGTGGGAGTCAAGAGAGATGCCACAGTAAACCACCGAGTCAGAATGCCACTGCTGATAGAAGGCGGGCGAACCTTTGAGAGGTGGATGGGAACGCCAGACGCTGATAGTTGCTGGCACTATAGGGTTCTTTTCGTAGTGTTTGAGAGAAGCATCGTTAATCGTGAACTAAGAAAGACAACTTTTTGATAACAAGCAAGAATTGATGAACCAGAGGCAACGAAGGAGATTATTGGTAATACTGTTGACACTATTACCACAGACACACAGACAGACACACAGACAGACACACAGACAGACACACAGACAGACACACAGGCAGACACACAGACAGACACACAGACAGACACACAGACAGACACACAGACAGGACGTAAGACAGGTGTGGATTGTAAATGGTATTGGGAGTAAAACAGCGGTAAGGAAGGTGTTGATATAGCCAGTTACTAGACGGGAGGCCACAAGTCTCTCTCTCTGTCTCGGCAGTGATAGTATAGGGGCGTGAGAACCTGTGTGTGGGAACTGGTAAGGTGGACGGTGGGGGAGATAATGATAGTACGATTGTCTTAAGGTTATGGAGGGAGGGGAGGTGATGAAGGCTGGCTGGAGGACATATCACCTATCTCTTGGAAGGAAAACCGGGACAAAATTAAATAATGAAACAAAATATTATACTTTCTGTGTTTTTTTATGAAGTTCGGTGTATGAATAATCCATACAATGTGATTTTATTGTTTGGTTTTGGTTACAGCTCCGTAGACGGTCTCCTAAACTCAACCTAACCTAATCAAAGGAGATCTAAACTCAACCTAACTCAACCTAACCTAACCTAACTTTTACCGGGCCCAACTAAACTAATTCTGGGGCTCATGTACGGTAAACTTCCTTATTCAAAGACTCACTCAAGACTCATCGGGAAACTGTGCGAGGCAAAACTCATCAGCGTGGGACGGGGGGTGAGATGGCAGGGCAGGGCAGGGCAGGGCAGGGCAGGGCAGGGCAGGGCTTCCACGGAGAGCTACTGTATACATCTAAGTGCCACCTCGGTCTTAAGGCTCCATCCACAGTACTGTAGCAACATCTCCTTTTGATACTGTTTATATATTAATCAATTTAGAATTTCTTTAGGGGATTGGGTGGCCGTGTAATGAAGTGGGTTTAATGAAAGAGATATTGCCATTTGCGGTAAAGTGTAGGCAGGGCAGTAAGAGGTCCACGCAGGAAGTGTAGTGGTGGTGGTGGTGGTGGTAGATAGGTGTTGCAACATATTAATACGTATCTGGTGTACCCGAGACCGCCATCAACAAGGCAGATAATGGGTCGAATATATCATTAGTTTCTTATTATACTTCATTTAGATTTGTGTTTTGTTTTTTAATATACCGCCGGAGATAACTTTTTTATTGTCAGTTTCTATTTTATTTTTTGTAAGTACTTCAACTACCAGAACTATCGATTTACAGCCGGACAGTTGATCTTAAGTTTCTCTGTATGACAACTTTAACAATTCACTACTGTATAATAATAATCAAATACTCTTAAGAAAAAATGTCAACGATGCCTCAAGATTAGTATTCACCCAAGAGACGATAAATACAGCATACAGAGATAGTTAT